TTTTTTCTAAATAACACAGTAACAGCCTTCCAGACCAGCTGGACCACAACATGGTAAAAACTGTCCAACATCATTTTAAAAGTTCCCACATGAAATGGAAACAAAGTTTCAGAAATTAACAACAAATAGCAAATTAATGTTTGCAATTTAAAACAGTAGTATAAATAGATGTTTAACAGAAATTCTTCTACTTTTTTTTTTTTGCTGCCGTAACCTGCCAGAACCTGAATTGAGGCCCTCAAGGTTCCGTTCTTTTCCTGTTGCTACTGATGACATCTCTATTAGCACAAGCTTGCATTTTGTATGCATGCCCTCTATGTATGCATGCCCTCCTTCTACAGATGTTAAGGTTGACTTCTTGCAAAAGTATTTCTGAGCTTAACAGGTAAAAATAAAGCTTTTCTTTTCCATAAATATAACTTTAAGTTTTATACAGTTATGGTCTAACGCAGTCTCAACCATGGCCTGCTTAAAATTGAAAGTGCAGTTTTTAAAAAATGTCTTTAATCTTCACAGATTTTTTTTAATATGGGTAGCATGGTAGCAGGTAAAAAATGCAGGGGGCTTCAGCTGCAGCAGAAACGTCACCTTTAAAGTCAGAATGCTTCTGTGAAGTGTTCACAGCTGATAGGGAAACCAACTTCCCAACAGGAGGCCCAGGAACACCTTGTCCAAAGGGCTCAGAAGGTGGTACTGGCATTGGACCAAGCCATTATGGCATGAACCCACTTATGAAATGACCTGGTCATATGTTCATAATGGCTCATTTTCTGAACCCCTCCTCACTATAAGCAGTTACTGAATATTAGGAGAAAGCCTGACTCAACAGGAAGCATCTGTTCCCACACTATCTCCCATCACACAAGACAGCATGAAACACAGATCTTTAATTCACGGCAACCTGTGAGGCTAAGCTAATTTATATTTTGATATTCCATTTTCATAAAAGACAATTTTAGAAAATGCTTAACAGCTAGTCAGTTCTTCAGTAGGATTATGAACCTGCCTGAGATTATGAAGGAGGGGAAACCCCTGAAGTGTATCTACATTTATAAAGTGATAGAAAAAGAGACATTGTGCATAAAAATGCACTACAATTTAATGATATCACAAGCCTTTCTGGAGCTTGAGGCAAGTGCAGTATGCAGCTCTGGAAAACAATCTGATTTTTGCTAATGAAATAAAGTTCCTTCTTTAAAAGCTTTAAGGGATGTGAAACATCAGGGCTTAGACCTGTCTGACAACAAAATCAGCTATTACCTATTCCAGCCCTCCGGCAAGTGTCATCTAATGGCCCAGTAAACAGAATGTTACATATCAAGGGCAAGACAAAAGTCATTGTTGCACCCTACACATTACTTTTCTCACAGGTCAATGGAGTAGAGATGGGGTGGGGGCATTATCTTATTAGACATTTGTTAGAATTTACTTAAGATAAATGCAAGCTGAGTCACACATGGTTTTTTTAATTATCTCAACTACCATGCTGCATATGGTTAACCCTAGAAAAAGCTGATGTAAAGGGCAAAACAGGACTAAACATTCTTGAAGTTCAAAATGGTGTCAATTAATAGTACACCATCAACAGGCAAGAAAACAGAATCTGAAAATAGAGAAAGGAAGATTAAGACAGTCGATACCAATAGCATGACCAAGAATGTCATGCTAGAGAACGAGAGATCCTTCTGTTAGTGGCAGATGCTCTTCTTGCTTCTCTAAATACTTACGCTTACAAGAGTATTAATCTGTACGAGACACATTCCTGTCTTTTAACTTAAAGTACTGTAAGAAATACATAACACTTTTTTCAATGCATATGCATTATTCTTTCAAAGGGAGAATGAGCGGGAGGGAGGTCAATGGGTGCTGACCTATAAATGTGGTATCAAATATTTGTACCAAGCTTTTTATACACATCCTGTTTGGTCATCAATAAATGTGCTCTGATAATGGAGCAAAGCATTTTAGAAGTATTTTTGACTCCATTGTTCAAACAATGCATTTGTAAACACAGTGCATGTTACATTAGAAGAAGAAGAAGAGATTGGATTTATACCCTGCCCTTCATTACCCCAAGGAGTCGCAGAGTGGCTTACAAACTCCTTTCCCGTCCCCTCCACAACAGAAACCCTGTGAGGTAGGTGGAGCTGAGAGAACTCTGACAGAAACTGCTCTTTTTCAAGAACAGCTGTGCCAGAATTATTGCTTGCCCAAGGTCATCCAGCCAGGTGCAAGTGGAGGAGTGGGGAATCAAACGTGGTTCTCCCAGATTAGAGTCTGTGCACTTAACCACTACACCAAACTGACTCTTGAGAAGAAACCTGCCCTGGAGGCAAGGCATTCTGCACAGGTGCTGCATTTTTTTCTAGTGGATATATACTGGCACCACCCAGGAATTTCTAGTACATGGACAGCAAATGAGTGACAGTTCCTGGGGTGGAATGGGGATTCAAACCCAAAAACTCCCAGACCCTCGTCTAACCACTAGACCATTCTGGCAGTTTACAAATGCATCATACTTACATCTGAGGACAAGCAGCAATTATATTGCAATACCATGCCAAAGTAAGTAAGATATTACACCAACTGATGGATTACTTTCCATTGACTTCAAATAAAATAAAATCAGGAGAACTATGCCTTTGGTTCTGTGCACACTTGCTTCCAAATATATTCCACTGAACAAAGTACAGTATGCAGACTAAATATTCACAGGCCCAGGCTTCTATATTTTAAATCAGTACAAAAAGGTCACAGTCATGCATACTAGTTACACTTATGATTCTTCTCTTTCCAAAGCACAAACACATTTACACAGGACTCTAAGACAGTCTTACAATTGGTTAACATAAAGCTAAGGAGTTCTCTTCCTGTGAAGAAATAATGACAACCCAAAAACCAAAGGAACATATTTGCACAGTAAGCCTTGCAAACATACTGCCAGAATGGTTTCCAACAACAATATACATATAATTATGAAAGATCAGTAAACCCAGAGAAAATTCTCTGCTAAACTTGTGTGTTTGGCAAGTGTCAAGGTTCTGTATATTTTAACTTCTTCTAACAGTCTTCTAGGACTACAAAGGGAAAGAATAATTTTTAACTTCTAAAAGGGCACAAAAAGACTATGATATGCATTATTTTATAACATATTTATATCTGCACTAGAGAAAATCTCTTCTTCGTCACCAAATATGAGATGGAAGCAAGACCCATTTATTCCAATGAGATTTAATTTCAAGTATGTTTGAACAAACCCTCTTCACTGAATTCAAATGCAATTCAACATATATAAAACCCCTTTTCAACCACTCAATCCATGAATAATATTAGACCTAGTATGGAGGATGAGAGATGGAGCTATAAACAAGAAAGTTCTGTTTCAATCTTGCCTAAACCCAGACCTATCAAAAACAAAGAGGGGTCTTGTAGCACCTTAAAGACTGACATGAGTTTATTCCATCATAAGCTTTGGTGTACTACAGTTCAATTTGTCAGATGGATGACATGCATCATGGAACAAGGCTACCCTTCTAGAATGATGACCTTAGACATTTTCAAGACAGGAACTCTCACCTTCAGCCCCCTTTTGCATAATGAACATAACAATACTGACCTTTCTTACAAAGTTGTTGTAAAGTTTATGAAATTAATATGAATTATGGAAAGCCAGACATCACACACACTGTCAAGTGCTTTAATAAGAGACTTCTACCACTTTAGTTAATGTGTGATACTATATGACTTTTTCCAGCTGTAGCGGGATAGGACAGTTCTCCCGTCTGCCTCCTCCAGATAATATCTTATATTTTCCTACAACTACATGCGGATGGAATTCCATCATGACATGCTGGTCTGTGTAACCCCCTGCCCCATTTCTGTACTACTTGCATTCACACCCAACCACCACCTTCTTCACTATCCTTCTCCCTTTAGACTCAGTCCAGGCTAACAGTATGAAGGGAAATTCCTGTAAATTTCACCAACATGTTGGTTTTTTTCCCTACAAAAGAATAGGTATGGACACCACAACTGATACACATAATAATACTTTTAATCCTGTTTCAAAGACTGAAAAGACACGTGAAACAGACAAGGCTTTCCCTTGAATTTGTAATTTTCACCAGATACCAGTAAGAAATCAGCAAAACGGATTGGGACAGCTTACAACAGATACTTATGGTCTTGAAACAGTAGAATGAATCAGGTAAAGGACCTACACTGTGCTCATTAACAGTGATCGGAGAGGGACATCTCTGTATAGAGAAATGAGATTAAAAAGGTATTCCCAAATGCATACGACTCTATGGTGGGTAGAGGACTAAAACCATACAATGCATTACACAGAAAACACAGGACATTTGCAATGTAATTGCAAATATACTTTCCTGAATGATTGACTGAATTTAAAAAATGGATACAAGCATATTTAAATTTAAATTTCCATTTCTCACACATGTGTACAAAAGCAGGGAACCTCAAAACACTTTAAGTAGCATGTGTGAACCTGATCAACAGCACTGTACAAATGTAAGAATTATTAGATAGTTGGACGAGTTTTAATAAGGGTGCAGTTTTCTTTTTCAGATGTCTATAACACATTACCTATTCACAAGTAACACTAAGGAGACTGTTCACTTTCATGAATTAGCATTTTAAACTAATTTGGTGTACTTAACACATACTCAAGTCCACTGGTAGTCTTAACAAAGTCAAGAACCTTTGAACCTCTGCGATACACATGCCCAATTAAAGCAGTTACATTAAGGACTTCTACGATCGGAGACAAAAACCCAATGAAAGCCCAGCTTCATTCAAGTATAATTTTAATGCAAACTTTTCAGAGAGTAAAATGAATTTAATGTATTTTAATAGCTGATCAAGTGGTCAAGTGAAGTAGTTTTCTAGCAAAAAAAATATCCAGCGGCAACAGTCAACAGAAACCTCAAATCAATGTTGCTTGTAGTGTTTTATTATTTATTGGATATTATGTTAAGTACCTGTGAAAGGGGACATTCCTTGGCCAATGAACTCTGGTTCATATCCTTCAGTAAGTCCTTCAGAGCATTTCGTACTGTTGTGTGAGACCACTGTTCAGGAGGCAAGTCTTCTAGTTTAGGGCAACTATTTGAGACATAGATTAGAAAAAGGATTATTACAAGATTGCATTCTGCTGCAGAACATTCCTTTAAGACAGACAGATTTCATTTTGCGCATCAAGCAGATGCATCTGGAGATTGCTCTCAGTCTCCTGATTGTTCCGATTAGTTAATTACTTTATACAACACATCTGCTGTATTGATGCATGAATTATACATCAGCTGCATGTGGCGACTATTTTTTCATGTTACTTCTACCTTCCTGCTCTGATGCGCTTGGTAAAACAATTTAAGGTGTAATGCCTTCTCACGACTGATCATGAAAAGAATTAATATATTAGTCTCCCTCCTTTTTCGTTATACTGAAATTTAAAAAACCTAGGCTGCAACAATAACAGTGAACAAGTCATTCTTTTTCAAAATGCACACAGATGGTGCTGTTCATGATATGCAAAAATATTTTTCTCTTAAGTAAACTTTATGTAAAATGCCTTCTTGTAATGCATCATTTAATTGACTAAAATGCAATATACTTTTAATGAGATACCAAAAGAAAAGCTCTGAATCGGAGCTATGTGAATATAAGATTTCTTCACTATTGTGTAGGGGGTTTCCCCCCTTAAGAACTGCAGGAACAAAATGGTACAGGTAGAATCTCATGGTCCACATGCTTAAGTTGGCAGGAATTGGATATTTGCAATATTACATGTCCAAGCTCTAATTTACTAAGTGGCTAGCATCCTGCGTGACATACCTGTGCAACTGGATTTTCAGTGTGACCACATGATATACATCTTGCAACATGTCAGCTACTGTAGCATCAGGGGCATCTGTCACATAGGAGAGAGGAACTGGATTCCATTTCCCAACTTGAATCAGTCCTACACCATCCAAAAAAAAAGGGGGGGGTTAAGATTGAGGCCCATAATTTTAAAATGAAAGAATCCATGGTTATGGGGATTGTTTTAAAATACATTATTCTATAAAACAGTCAATAGAATATTATTTCTATCGCAGCAGCTGTTAAAGTGGATTTATATACGCCATAAAGGCTTTTCTTGTGTGGAATACCATTAAAAACATGGGGAAATCCACAAACCACTTAAGAAATGAGGAGGGAAAAAAATCCTCTGTCCTAAAAGAAAGTTGGTTCTCCCAATGCTTCTTTTCCTGAGATGTGCTCTAAACATTCTTGCATATCATCAGTAATAATAGGTCATTAAGGCTGGTAGGCATACTAACGACTCTGTTGCAGACATTTATAGTACCATTTCAGCAAACAGAATATATTCTAACAGAAAACACATTTAAGGAGAAAGTGAAATATCTCTTTAGTCTGTAGCAGATTATAAACATCAATGGCGCTTTTCTGAAAACAAGAAATGCCTTGTCCCTCCCCCTCTTAAAGTAAATAACAATTGTTTTGTGATTCATCAAAATATATTTACCTTTTGCTTGGGCAGCAGAGCTATGAGAATATCCAAGGGATAGCAGTGCCATTTCAATCAGTTGGTTGAATAGCATATCCTTTCTTACCAAAACAAATTCTGCATGCTCCTCCTTACAATCGTATTCTATGGAGTTTTCATAATGTTCCACTACACAAAAAACTGGAAGCATGGTTCCTGTAATAATAATTTTAGGAGATTAAAATCTGCATAGTACTTATTGGCACCTCTTGGATACACTGATACAAAAAAAATCTATAGCTGAAATCCTACCAAAGGTTCCTTCCAGACATAAGATACATCACATTCAAAAATTTATTAAAACATTGTAAGCGGAATAAGACTAGGTCTTAGAGTGCTCTACAATTCAGTACCTGCTTATAGAAATAATGAGGCTGATTGCAGAGGAAAAATGTTGTTTGTTCCTATCCTAGCAGATTTGTTATGAGAGCTTGCAGTATGACTACTTAAATATGTACTGCAGAAGCCTTTAGAATAAGCCATTGCAATGCCATCTACATAAGTCTGTTTACAATAAAACTTTCTTAGTTGTGCCAGAAATACTGAATTACTAATTGTTATGAAATTTCACCTTTGTTTGGCTGTTCTTCAAATTTCACATTAACAAAACTGTGCTAGAAAATCTAACCTATCCTAATGCTAATTCATTTTATTATTTTGGAATAAACACAACATGCTCAAGTTACATATAAGAAGGTACACATTTTGAAAGGGGGAAAGGCGATCCTAATAATTTCATTTTTACTGTAATAACTAAGTTATTGTCATGTGTGTTTTCAGTGCCTATATATGTATATATACAGCATAATACATATGGCCAAATTTTTAAACTAACTTCAAGACAACTGTTCAATTCCCTGTTTACACTGGTGGAGATCCAGTGTAATCAAGATGAACAAAAGGTTTATGAATCATACATCTTACTGATCATAATGGAATTACAGCAGTATCAGTGAAGCATGCTAGGCCTTTTAGACATTAGAATATTTGCAGATCTTAGAAAGCAAGAGTCTCATGCACTGCTTTAAGCTGATCTAGATCTAAAAGATGGACTGGCCCTTGTATATAGGAATATGTATATAGGAAATGTTCTCATGAAATCATAACTGAAGGAAAGAAGTATGTAAATACAACACCTACATTCACTAATCCAGCAATAAAACTCTCACTGTCTTCAGTAATACAGATTAGGTCCTTTGCTGACAAGAAGTGAAGGGTTAAAAAGCTCCTGCACAGGAGCTGCTGTCTCAAGGCACACTGCCAGAAGGGCATGATCTTTCGCATAAATGATGGCAAAGGTTACTTTAACAAGGCACCAAGGATCCTCAATGAGTTCTAAAACATTCATGCCTCTGCAAACGGACAGGGCAGTGCTTAATCTGATCCTATAAAGGTATAATACACATACTCCCCTTGGAAAAGCAAGTTATTGATAACATCAGTATAACTTGTGACAGATTCCTTTTTGTTTGATCTGAATTCTTATACTCTGCAAAACAAAAATCAGTGAAAGCCACCTTTCAATAATGTGCACCTGTCAACTACATCTTCAGAGATCTGTTCACCAAAGAGTCTCTGGCAAACTAGGCTTGTTTGGAGTGGTGCACAAACTCTCTCTGGTTTGCTGAATAGGCTCAGCAGAAACACAAGCCCAAATGCTTGCATCTCATTTTTTTTTTAATTTTGCATCTCATAGTGAGATGCACTAGGAAGAAAAAAGACTAGAGAAGGAACATAACGTAAACTGCCGACTTCTTCCCTGGTATTAATGAAGCTGTAGAAAATGCTGCAAAATACCAAACACTCGCAAACACACTTGTGAAGCATGTTTTATCCAAGCTGTGATTAGATATTTGACCTATCACTCCAAAAACAGAATAAGGCACAGAAAAATAAAACAAAACCCAGAATCACTGTTACAATTCTGATCCTAAGAACTGTACAAATTCACATGCTCCATAGTTGAAGAACACAATCTTATATATGCTTCCTCTATTCATTCCTTATATTAGAAACCCAGGCAAAGCCAGTTTCAAAGCTGAAACACCTTGATCCTACCTTCACCAGTGTAATTACCCACTATATGTGCTAGTGTATTGGGAAAGCATGCTGTATTGTTCTATACTTCATGAAAGGCCTGGCAAGTAACCATACACAAATACTAGTTGCCTTAAAGAAGCAGTGCCTTTCAACTGGTTTTTAGCATCCACAGCAGCTACCAAAAAGGTATCATCTAACTACACATGTTAAATCTCCACAAGCTGTCACTAATGCCCTTCTATTAACAGTGAAATATGTTAGACAGGAGACCACAATCTCAGCTAGCTAATCACACTTGCAAGTACTTGGCAAGTACAGCAACTTTATAACCTTCTAGTATTAAAGGGGAAAGCACTAGTCAGTGCTCAATGCTAAAAATACAGCATGATTTAAACCTGAAGGCAGTGTTGGAGGTTTCGCTAAAGGTTTATGAGTCTATGTAAACAGCACGTCTGCCATAAGCAGCAGAGAAGTCTGTAGAATCCTTGTCTAAAACTGTCCTGACATTAAAGTTTGCTGTGCAAATATCACAAAATACCAGAGACAGCTGAAATCTATTTAGGAATTTATGGAACTTATATGTTTGCAGGCGTCAGAAAGTCCTTTTTATATAGCCCCAGTGCTTCACAGTACAATATTAATGCACTCTGTTTAAAAAGCAGCAATAAATTATATTTTTAATGCCTTACCCTGGCTTTCTTAAGATGCATACATTCTTGGCAAACAATCAATAAATAGGGTAATCATGAGCAGAGGCCAAAGAATTTGCTGAAGTGCTGTTTTTCCATTTTTAATAGATACACATCTAACAATACGGACTGCTGTGTCTGTTCATTCCAAGATCAATATATCCTTTGTTTTCGCCAATCCAAGGAAAAAAAATAAATGATTGTATGATAAATGTTATGCATCAGAAAGAAATGCCAGTGTCTTCTAATATTGTGTGTGTTCAATTGTCTTGGTTGAATTTTACACTAGCTTTGCAAATGCAAAAGGAAATCTGAATTATAAACATGTAGCAATATATACTGAAGGAAAAAAATGAGTGTTAAATAACAAATGCCAAATTATACACAGCCTATCTGGTTTTAAATGAACACGGCTGCTGTAGATCCAAAGGGATCATGTATGCTATTTATTTTAAAGTATTTGTAATACAAACACAGGCACACACATACATACCACAATCAGTCACTGGCTCTAAAAGCGTCTTTTTCTTGTGAGAATGTCTAATTACCGCAAACCAGTCACTGAACAATACGACACCCAAGTTGTTCATTGCTCAGTAATGAATTGTACTTAAGGAAACAAAGTGCGAAAAATGGTCATCATAAAGGAGTTTTCCACAGAACACCAAAAAAGCTTTGCATCACTTTCCTGAAGCCAACTAACAAATGTTTTAAAACTGCTGTTGACCTTGCAAATGTGGATCCTTATCAAAAATAAAAGTAGAAAACTGGCTGCTTCAAGTATTAATTTATATGCCACTAAATAGTGTTTTGCTCAACACCATACAAAGAATAAGTTTATTACAATACAAGTTATCTTTGACTGGTAGTAGTATCAGGTCTCCGCAATTCCCTGTTTACAGAGAAAGCTGTTGGTAAGGTTTCCCCCCATGTGTAAAAAGAAAAAGACTCCACCCTGCAAAGCAAGATGCTCCACCCCAGCATACAGTGCAAGTTTCCAAGTGCCATTTCCATCAGAGCTATGAATAAGATACTTGTAGAACAAAAAAATGTAACAGTGGAAGAAGAATTATCCAAAATCTCAGAAGTATATTTCTTCTCCTAAAAAATTCTCTATTATTCAAAAATTAATGTTCCATATTTATAATTATCATGTTACCTTTTCTAGTATGTGTTTTCATCAGGTGTCCAGAGTGTTTTAAAGGCACTCCTTGCATTTTAGCTCCTGTACTTCCAAGTCTTCCTCTTCCTAATGGGCTCCCATTCTGCTCCAAGCGGGAAATTTTGGCTGGCGGACCCTTCGGATCGCTTACATTGTTAGACATTTCTGAATGTTCTTTCCCCTGAGTTGTCTCGTTCAAATGATCCATACTCAGTCCCGCCTCTAAAGATCACCTGCCATGATTTAAAAAAATATATATATGTGTGTTGTATACGCGTGCGTAGATTTATGTAGGCAGCTTTACATATGTACATAATACATCTGTATAGCATGTTCACATAATATTGTCTCTTACAGAAAAGTACACTCTCAGGAAATTTACTTCATTCTCAAAGTAACTAAAACGTCTGAAGTTTTCTTAACCTACTATTTAGTCATTGACCAATTTGTGCCTTAAGAATTCAAATATGAGACTAGTAGTAATGACTGGTTAGCAGCATTCACATGATATACTCATTGCTACAGACCTCTGAAGTGTACGTTCCAAGTTTATTATACAAATTCCTTGCCTTTTTAGTTTAATAAAGACAAATCTTATGCTGGTAAACTCCGTAGAGAAAATAATTGAAGAAAACCAAAACTTTAGCTAGGTATAAAACAGATTAATTAGTAATAAGAGATCTTGTATATGTATCTTTTTCATAGATAGTAAAGAAGCTTCAGTAGCTTCCAAGTCTCTGGGTGGTGTTTTTTTTTTTTTTTAAAAAACCATATATATATCAGCCTATTTTCTACATGAAATGTTAATCAACTTCAGATAAAATGATGCAGGTACACTTTTTCCATGTTATATAGCAGACTCTGAAACGAGAGATCTACGTCATCTTATAAAAGTCATATAAAGGAAAACATGGAAAGTTTCTTTAGATGATGACAACTTGGGGATCCAGTTAAAAATTTTTAGAAACTTTTCAGCATGTACAAAATTTCTGTAGTGCGTAATTAGAGAATTACAGAGATGCAAAATCAAACAAAACTATATATTACTTCTGTGTAACACTGAAGAGGAAATTGCTAAATTTCAATCCTCCTGCAAAATAGTTTTTTTTTAAAAATCATGTTTTATTATAACATGCGATACATATTACAGGTAACTGGTAAGTACTGACATCTAACCACACCCTACCCCAACTGTGCAATTGGGTCTTGACAATGCAGTGAAGCATCCAGTTATATTCTGGATGGATACTTGTTTTATAATAGTATCTCTTACCCCCACCCGTCTACATTGCTTTCCCCACCATGAAGAACAGGTGACCAATCATTTATGAAGCAGCACTTGCATTATTGAACATAAACACTACAACATGGGGTGGTCCCGCAGCAAAAGCAGCAGTAATCCAATAACAAGCACTTTCAAATGCACTGTAAATGCATCACATTTTTTTCAGCCCTGACAAGGTCTGCATTTTGGTAGCAGTGCTGTATATTCCCATTGTAATTTGTTTCTTGTTTAATCATAGACTGCTTTGTCTTTTATAACAACTGTGTTAATCTGAAGGTTTAGAAGCAACCTTAAGAATGCCAGCTGAATAACTATAAAGTTTAGAATATAATGGTTATTTATCCTTACACTCTAGGGTGACATGCTGAGAACCAAAGGTTTACCGTTGATTGTGGTCCCATCTGTTTTTGGTTATGAGTCTCATTAACAATAAATATGCCTACTTTAATCACTTTTTTTTAATCAAGATTATTCTTTTTCATTACATTAACTGCTGTTTAACCCAAAACTGCACATCTAAATTACTAACATATCCTGCATTTGCTAGTGCTTTACCAGAACACTTTGTCTGATACTCTAGTCTTACCTTCAGAATTAGCGGATGATCTCAAAATACCTTAAACAGGAAAAATCACAGTCACTCTCTACAACTTAATGCATACCTGCTTCAAGATTTGGCTGGGAAAGGTACCCATTGCATGCATAATCAACATTACTTTATTCTCAGCAAATAAAACTGACAAGATAGCAATCTGTTGTATGCATATTGTCTAAAAACACTGATTAGGTTATTCTAAATTACTACAAAGGGGTAGCTGCAGTAGTCTATTTTAGCAAGATAAAACAGAAGTCCAGCGGCACCTTAAAGACTACTAACAACAGTTATTACTATATGTGCTTTTATGAGTCACAGCTCACTTTGTCACAAGCTGTGACTCGCAAAAGCTCATATAGAAATAAACACTGTTAAAGGTGCCACTGGACTTGTTTTATTATTCTAAATGAGCCTTAGAACACCCATCCCTCTGCCTCCTTTATCTTGCTCATCTTTCAAAAAGTCTCATGTTCCAAAGAAAAGCTAAATGCACAAAATGCAACTAATTTAAACTCCATGTCCAAGGCTAAAGTTCATCAAAACCTGCCTGGAAGAGTGGTGAGCAGTAATCGGCATGATTTGACCAGTGCAACTTCTCCATGAAGTCAGCTATTATCTCAGGGGGTGGCAGCACCCAGAGCTTCTGGCAGTTTCACATTCACACATTTGTTTGACATACAAGTTTTCAGTCCAAACATAAGTTGCAAAATAGAGTTTCATAAACAAGCTATTGAACACAGGGAGATGACATCCTAAACATTTTCTAAATGGAATTCAATTGTCAGAACTGGCTTTCTGCAAACAGAATTGAGTATTGTACTGTATGTCCAACATGTCAAGAGTTAGCCCCCTCCCCTTTCTTCTTTTCCCCTCCTCCTCTTCCTCCTCCTCCTCTCTAGATAAAACCCTTAATCACATTTAAGAGAGGCTCTGTTCTTATCCATTCCATATGGCTGTCATAATCCAGGCCAAGCTTTCACTGTGACCTTTTAAAGAGACAAAGAAGCAAAACACTATCTAGAAACAGGAACACTGCAGTTGGAGTGAAATTTTTATAAAAGACCCGAAACTCACCACTTCAAAACTTGACAGCATATAAATAAGAGAAACAAAGGAGTTTTCCTTTGCAGCACGATCTCTTGAAGAAGAAACAGCTCAAGACTGATGTTGTCTAAGTCCTTTCTTTAAAAAAAAAATTAGGGAAATGGAAGGATACCTCTTTTCCAAATTCTATTTCTTTTTATGAGAAGGGGAAATGCATACACCAAAAGTACTGGCCATGAGGAGAGGCAACAAGGGAAAGAAAAAGGTATTAGTCAATGAATTGTGGGATGTTAGATGAGGGAAGTTAGAATTTCATCAGACAAGTGTAATGCTGAGAATAAAGTTTCTATCTCTGCTTTAAAAAGGAGAGAGTAAAACTAAAAGAAAACCTAACCAGCCTATCTCTGCATTCATTTTTAAATAGTGCAGATAAAAGTATGGGGAGGGGAGAAGAACAGCAGCTTTTCTATTATTTAAAAATTAACAGAACTACTGGATTTGCCTCTTTCGGTTATTTCTAATAAGACATAGCGCGCACACACACAAAATACAACTGAGGACTTTGCCTTCCTCCCCACAAAAAACTAAACCCAAAACTTTCTGCATAAAGCTTCAAAGATGTCACAGAAAAAGAAACCAAAGACAGAAACAGAAAAGGCTATAGAAAAGTTGCAAGTAAAGGCACTAAAAATTCAGTTACACTACGGCCCTTGCTTCTTATTAAAATAATAATAATTATAATAACGCAGAGGACCTCTCCTTCCTCATTTACCCGGAGAGATTACGTTTGGGTAAAGGAGGGGGAGCGGAAGGAAACCCAGTCACCACCAAAAGTAAAAAAAAACAACAACACACACACACAACCAAAACGGACGCACACGCACGGAAGATAATTTCTAAAAAATAAAAATCTACTTCCGAAGAGTTAGGTTAAAATGAAGCTGGGGGGGGGGGGGAGGTGGTGGTGGGGGCGAAGAAATCAGGTTACCAAAAATTAATAAAATAAATCCTGTGAGCTTTCAAAAATCTTGTTGTCCCCCGGCTGGATATTATTGTTATTTAGGCCGGTTTGGTGGTTGTTGCTGGATGTTACAGGGCTGTGTGTGTGAGAGTGTAGCTTGCTTTGCTCGCTCGCTCGCTCTCCCCCTCTCTCTCTGTCCCCATTAAATTATTAGTTGACTCATCACTCCTCCTCCTGCTCCTGCTGCTGCCGCCGCCGCCGCCGTCCCCTTGCTCATGTTCCTTCCTCTCCGCTATTGCTGGCTGCTGCCGCTGCTTCTTCCTCCTCCTCCTCCTTCTCATTTTAATACAAAATAACACCGAGGGCCACCGGCTCTTAAAAAACGTGTATACAACCCGAGACAGGAGGAGGACGTAGCCTCCCTGCTGCTGCCTGGAGCTCTTCCCCGGCGGCCCCGGATCATCCGACGCGTCCTGGGAGGGAGAGACACACAGACAAGCTGGAGGAGGTGGCGGCGGTGGAGGGAACCGGGAGGAGACGGGAGGGGGGGGGGGGAGGGAAGAAAGGGCATCTGGAAGGGGAGGTGGTGGCGAGTGAGGCAGGGAGAGAGAGAGAGGCGAAGGGAGGGGAGATGAGAGAGCCGAGGGGTGTGCGATTTCCGGCACAGGGCGCGCAAGAATTTGTAATCAGCTTGATTAGTGTGAGGCGGCTCTGCATTTATTACACACAATACCCAGAATAACAGGGAGCAGCGCGAGGCAGAGATGCTGGCAGCGGAGCAAGGCGAGCGATTAGAGTACGGAACGGGCTGCCGAAAGGGACAGGCCAAAACAGCGGCCGTAGCACCGCCCTTGGCTGTGCGGCGAGAGAGGGCGCCCGGGCAAACAGGATCCGGGGATGGAGAGGTGGCACCTTTGGGGAGACGAGCGGGGAAGCAGGCGCGAAAGTCTTGCTCGCTCTCTCTCTCTCTTTCACACACACACACACACACACCATGCCTTGCCAACACCAACCACAACCTTAGTCGACTGGAGCGAGGGTCCCCCCCCCCATGTAAAAGCAAAGGGATGCAACTTCTGGAGCCCGCAGAGCTTGGCACTCAGGAGAGGGCAGCGTGCACCCAACAGACTTGGAAATAAAGTAGGCATCTAAGGAACATGAGCATCTTTAGAGGCAGGGAGATGTGCAGAGATGGAGGATGGAGAGCAGGTGCAGGCAAGGCATAGGAGCATATGGCAGACAGTCATGGTTCTGAAGCGAGGGAGAAGCAGGACTTGTGTGTGTGTTTGTTCTAGGGAGGGGAGAAGGCAGACCACAGTTTAGAGGCGAGTGTTCTCCCTTTGCAAAACTTGCCTGAATACATGTATCTGTTGCCAGGAAGTCCTGAACAGACTGACTTCTTAGTGAAATTCACATGCTATTTCAGGCATTCCCTGTCCTTGTAGAAGTCAACCAGAATTATTCTCTTCGGCCTAGACATAACACTGGATAGTAAGACAGCCAGTGGCAATGTAACTAGTATGACACAGATGTTCACTGTACTAAAAAAGAGTAGAAATCCAGTAGCACTTTAAAGACCAACCAAAAAATTGTGGTAGGGTATGAGCTTTCATGAGTCACTGCTCAATTCTCAGATACAGCTAGAATGTGATTCCATCTGCCCTATATATTGGAAAGTGGAGTGATTTCAGATCCCAAATTACATTAGCAGGCAAATGACAATAGAAGGTGTGATTGGATTAGGTGTGATATGCAGGGAGGTAATAGGTGTGGAGAAATCAGCATTGGTAATGAGACAGGAGACCTAGGTCTCAATTCAATCCAGGTGGATGCACTGTCTTGCGCTTTGATTTTGTTAGTCTTTAAGATGCTACTGGACTCTTTTCTACTGCTACAGACAGACTAAAAAGCTACCCATCTTGATCTATGTTCATTGTATTGTACTTCCTTCTGAGATTCCATGAAAGTCCTTATATCAATGAAAAGGTTGATTTCATAATGCTTTACTTGGGAACATGTAACTAAGCTATACAACGCATGTAATTAAGACTGCAAGTCACTGTAATCAGATTGCTCTCTTTGAGGACCTTTAATGCCACTGGCATTAAAGTTAGAGACCCGGGTGCCGCATGATGGAGTGAGCTCCCATCTCTAGCTCCAGCTCCTGCCAACCTAGCAGTTCGAAAGCAAGAAATTGCAAGTAGATAAATAGGTACCACTTCGGTGGGAAGGTAACAGCGTTCTGTGCGCCTTGGTGTTTAGTCATGCCGGCCACATGACCACGGAAACGTCTTCGGACAGCGCTGGCTCTTCGGCTTTGAAACGGAGATGAGCACTGCAACCCTAGAGTCGGATTCGACTGGCTTTCGAGCAAGGGAACCTTTACCTTTTTAATGCCACTGGCAGTCACTGAATATTGAGCCCCAACAACTAAGAACCTAAGAGAAGCCATGTCAGATCAGACCAATGGCCCATCCGGTCCAACACTCTGTGTCACACAGTGGCCAAAACCCAGGTGTCATCAGGAGGTCCACCAGCAGGGCCAGAACCCCCCCACTGTGATCCCCTAAGCACCAAAAATACAGAGCATCACTGCCTCAGACATAGTATTCTATCTATACCTTGTGGCTAATAGCCACTGATAAACCTTTGCTCCATATCTGGCATTGCAAATACACTTAACCCTAGCTGCTTTGCTATAGCCACTGATAAACCTTTGCTCCATATGTTTATTCAGAATTCCATGTCTGGCATTGCAAATATACTTAACCCAAGCTGCTTTGCGCCTTATTTAAGATGAGGCATTCTGCATTTTAATAATAATACTTAGCATTCATAAAGTGTATTCAATGTTCAAAGTTCTGGCCTGTAAGGTAGGCCAGTACTGAACATAAAGCTGAGTCAGAGCCTTGATCTGTCAAGATCAATACTGTCTCCTCTGACTGGCAGTGATATCCAGGGTCTCTGGCACAGATCATTCACATCACCTTCAACTTGACATTTTTAAAAAAAAATAGTTATGCCAAAGATGGAACCTAGGACCTTCTGAATGCAAAGCAGATGTTCCACCACTGAGCCATGGCCCCTTCTACTTCTCCCTGTATTTAAGATGGCTGAGAGTGAGGGCCTTGTCAAAGACTACCTAGTTAATTGTGGCTTAGTTCATTTGTGGGTGAGATAAAATTTGAACACAGTAAAAAATTTTTTTGCCATGATGTTAGTTTGGATATTATAATACAAGAAACTCAGTAACAAAAAGATATTAACAAGGGGAACGTTCAGGCTGATCCTAACCACGTTTGTTTGAATGCAGATCTTACTGATTAGAAAAGGTCTACAGTGTGCTTAAATTTGTTTATGACATTGTTTACTATTGTACATGTGACAATGATGTAAGAGGACAAAGTTGTATAGCCACTTCTGCATGCATTCTGCCAACAAAAGTGCAACTCAGGTGGGAAACTCAGCCAAGTTTGGTTCCAGATTTTTTAAAAAAAGAATATTACTAGAATTCATGTTAATTTATTTTTTACTTACTTAAAATAAGCCCTCGTTCTCCCAATATACTCGGGTCCCAAAACAGGGAATAATATCAGATGAAACAACAACAAAAAATTAAATAAGTGCAACAGAACAGTCTCAACAAAAACAAGCAAACACGGCTCACAAGAATTATAGCCACATCAATATCAAGGACCCAACAGATATTTCAACACCTCAGTTGGACATGCCCTTGGCCCAAAAGCGCTCATCATCTAGCCCCAAGTTTCCTCCTAAATATCTGTTTTACAGTTTTTCCATAAGGTCAGCAAGGTGGGACCCTTCCTCGCTTCTTTTGAGAGGCTGTTCCACATCATGGCAGCAGCCAATTGCATTGTAGCAAGGGAGGGGATGAAGAGAAGCCATAGAGTAGCCATACAGATCCCACAGGGATGAGGTGGTTCTTTCAGAATGCAGATACCAGTCATGAAAGACTGTAAAGGTAAGCACCAGCACCTTGAACTGAACCCAGAAACAAGTAGGAAGCCGGCAAAGAGATCACAATATGGGAGTACCGTGCTCCCAATGGCTAGTCCCCAAAGGTAAACAGGCTGCCACATGTTGTACCAGGTGAAGTTGTCTTCAAGAGCAGCTCACATAGAGATTGTTAAATAATCAACCCCCAGGGTTATTGTACCATGACCATCAGGTGCTTGGAAAAAAAGAAAAAAGGAGCAAGGTTTGGAGCCATATGCAGCTCTAATATTTACCTGCTTGTC